ACCCTATGTTATATTTTCAAGCTTTTTCACAAAATGGTAGACTAATCTCTGCCATAACCAGGGAGTGCTGGGAGAGAGGAAAAAACATCCATTTAGCTGGAAAAGGTCTGTTCTTTGTCAAACTTTGATAAGGATTCTGTGCCATTTTCCAAGTTGGATGACAAAAAAAAGGGATAAAGAGGCTCACAATTTGAGCAAATTGTCTCCCTTTTATTGCTGCTGTGCACCTGATTTTTACGCTAAAATTCATGATATTCCATTGCATTGATATGGTGGTAACATAAGATTGCAAAATGCTAATCTGCTGTGTGTGGTGCCATTGTCTTCTCTTTTGTTGCAGTCATGGTGTCTCTCCAGATCAGAAACATGGGTAAAGCTATTGATCACTTTTCCCAAACACGTTCTTCTTCACTGAAAGTTTTTTTTCAATTGGAAAATAGTTTGCAGTTTTCAGTATTGCCCTTTTTTAAGTGTAAATACCAGATATGTAGCACCTTTCAGGAAGAGGTACTAGATATGTTTAAGGGACCATTCTTAGACCCTATCGTACTAACTGTCTATTGATCTTCCAAGGGGATTCTCGCTAAATTGCATTCAACTGAAGTGGTTTAGATGTCTGTCACGCTTACTGAAGCTGCGAGGGGGGTAATTAATTATAGTTTAGCAGCTTCAGTAGGCCGCTTAAGCTGAAGCCGCTTAAGCTGAAAGCAATTTAGCGAGAAACCCCTCAGAGATGGTTCGATCCTGTTAGATGGCTGTAGGTATGGGCACCCTGTTAAGTATCTGTAAAACCATTTCTACAGAACTTTAAAGGTTTCCTTCATAAATGTGAGCAGCCCTGAATAAGGGCTTCTCTTACATAAGTTTAATATCTTCGGTATGATGAGGGGTGTCTTGTAATCTAGATCAAGAAACCCTATGTTGAATGTGTTAAGATATGTTATTGTTAAGATATGCTTTTAAGAACATAAAATCATCCAATATCAAAGTTGCTTCCAACTGCTGACAATTATGAAAAAGATGCATTGAGTTAATATGTCATGTTCATACTGTAAAGACGCTGCTCTTTATTTAATTTTCATAAAGAATTTATTTTCTAGCTCATGAGGCATTGTCAGTGCATCGTTATTCTGCTGCTTGCTTTCATATTTATTTAAAATATTTTCATGTTGTCATTAATTCTTATTTATTGTTTGAAAGATTATTTGGTGACGTAAGTGATTATTCGTGTATTCAAATGGAAAAAGTAGGGCCACGACGAGGTTCTAAAGATTAAGTAGTGAGATTTGAAAAGAACAGCCAGCTCTCGTGAAACTGAGGCTCGGGCTAGAAAATGGCACAGCGTTTCAAAACAGTGAAGATTACTATTTTACTATTTACATTCTATTATTAGAAGGGTTAGATTAGCGAAGAGATGTAGAAAGCTAAGTTATGCAGCATCTTAGTACGGTTTACACTAATGATAAGTAAAATAGTTACGTCTTAGAATGTAAAAATGATTATACTTGCTGCTGCCGTTCTTAGTCAAAGGCTTTTGAGGAATCTCAGAACAAAACGTTATGATAGTATAATGACGAAAACACCCCTATTACTGTCTAACGTGATATATCATAATTTGGTAATGGGGCTTCATAATTATAATACAGTTTTTATACTAGGTGAAATGTACTTGAGGTTGGTATTTGTTATTGTCAGATGCCGCTTACAGAAGAGATATGTACATACATCGGTCACGTACAATATGTGTATTTATACGTAACAAAGCCATGAAAATTTTAACGTATATATGAATTATTTGTTTGCATTGGCGCAGAGTGCTTGTAATGTTGAAAAACTAGTTTTACGGAAATGCGTGTAAGTGTGCGCGCGATAATCAGATGTGTAACGCTGTACAATGTGCGTGTTTGTTCGCGTACGCCGTAAAATACATGCATAAACTGATTAATGCGTGCGTTCAAACGCAAACGTACTGTTGGATTACTGTGCGCCTATACCCTGGTGAAATACTCCATTTTAATTCTTGCACCATGCGGTGGACATGGTTAAATGACCCATACTGTAAAGATCTTTAAACAAATGCAAGAGTTTAAAATATAATTAAATGTATTAGTTAGATTTGATGTAAAATATCATTGTGAGCGTCATTTACTCATCCCGAGTTTCAAAGATTACTGGGAAATCTTTTGTTAATGTCGTGTTTTGTTGTTTACATTAACGGTAATCGTACAAACTCGGGGTGTCTTTACATGTCTTTACCTCTAGTGTGACACTAAGAAAGATGAGAAATCGAGTGTAGTCCAGGCGAGCTTTTGTCTTATGTATTTATCTTGCTGAGATCCAGCATATGTGTGCTGTATCTTGTACATTGAATAAAACAAGACTAACCAGAAACAGACTTGTTTGTTTTTCATGACGCGGTCTTTGTTTTTCTCCATTAGAGACCATCCTCCCTGATATTTAGATCGATCTTTCCCTCTGGGGAGTATCACTAGATTGCTGTCAGCTTAACCGGCTTAAATGTCTGTCCCGCCTACTAAAAGCTGTAAGGGGGTAATTAACTTTTGTGCGCGCTCGGCTCCCAGAAGCTGACAGCAATTTAGCGTGAACCCCCAGGGAGTTAGGTCGATCCAGATGGATCGATCTAAATCTGTGGGAACCCAGTCTTAGAGACGCTATGTATCGATATATGTGTGTCTTTGAAGACGCGCCATCCAGTTTCCTTTAACTCTGCTGTTATAACCAATAGGTTAATTTATCTAGCCACGTAATCTTTACCTGAAACGGTGCTTATCTTAATTGCTTTGTGTCTGCCCGCGGCAGTTGCATAATTTCTCCATCGCAAATCAAAGTCCCTTTTCGTGTTGTATAAAGCCACGACTTACCACGAAAATGTTACATTTTTATTGTGTTCCCTTTCCCTTAATGATGAACGATTTGTTATCATTTCCCACAAGTAAGGCATTAAGTTTCGCACAGATCACACAAAACTGCCGATTTTTTCACCAACGCTGGGTATTCATTTGCAGTGCTATGTAAGCAAAAATCAATAGGGAAATCTACAAAAAAATATGCCTCCCCAAAACAAAGGAAAAGCGAAGAAAATCCGTTTAAATCGGACAAGACTTCAGCATTGATGAGAATATGATAAATCTCTGGAACAGATTTGTATGCTGATCAATTAGCGTGGGATTCCGTCTTGACACAGGTGAAAAGTGCACGCGTACAGAACGCAGTGGCTCTTCTGTGGTGGTTTAAAAAGTCCATTTGCACCAGAACCAGAACGCAATATTGTTGTAATAACACATTTAACCACTTTGCACTCCCGACAAGCGTTAGGATTTTCCGATTAAATAAGTATAAATCGGTCAATTTTTATTTATTTATTTATTTATTTATTTATTTGGTTTTTATGGACAGGCACCGTGTCTTGACATAAAAACATCAGATGCACCCGTAGTTGCCGTCGTCGTGCACGCTCTTCTTTAACACCATGAAAGGAAACCCCTGTTCTTATTATTCTCAAACGTATGGAAATAATTCTTTGGACTAAAAATCCAGTTCGCATTCGAAGCCCAATTTGCTGGATTTTTTTTAAAGTTAAGAATTCCTGTTTTTAATTTTTTTTTTTTTTTACACACTGGTTTTTCACCAGGTAAGTTATGAAGCAAATCTGTCAAGAAATAACTTGATTTGGGTGATTTATGGCTGAAAATGAACTTTTGACTTTGTCCCTTTACCACGAACCAGATCTATCTTATAATATCGACTTAATACACGAACTGATGGCTCTAGTCGCTTACTAAGAATTAACCTATAAACATCAAACAGCCCATTAACTTAGAGATTGAGGACGTTCTCATTATGAACAACAATGGCGCACGTCTTAGGATGTCATCCCTTAATCTGAATGGTTATTCAGTGGATTTCTTAACACAGAACCATCTTAAGGAACAAAGATTTGTTACAAATATAGAAGTTAACACCAACAAAGATTTCAGTGAGCGATTTGTCTGCAAGCAATCTTTATTTTCAGTTATTCTGCTTCATATAACAAACTCTTAAAGGTGAGTAATCCCAAATTTAAAAAGGGAACCACTGAAATAGTTTACATCATACCAGTAAATAGATTCATCAGCTGCGTGACACAGTGGCTTAAAAAACAATGCGTTTGGAGTTATTAGTACCGAAATATTGGAGTGCAAAAAATTCCATTTTTTCTTTTCTGTTGCGTTTGCATATCTGCTACCTCAAGTCTTAAATACGGTCTGAAAACAGCACCAAAACACTGGACAAGTTTTCTAAATAAAAACAAGGGTTTATTGCTGAAATGTAATACAATGGGAAAAGCTCGATGGAGTATCAATTCAAATACATATCAAATGGCTGAAGATAGAAAGATGACAACTGAGAAAATTAATATGGTGAACAATGACGACATTGTGTGTGTGAAGGCGTGAGAGAAGATTCACCCCCCGCTTAGAAATCTCGCTTTGGATACACAAAACATTATGGCGAGCACCTGTTGCGTTTACATGTTATTTGTACTTTTGCTACTTTTACAAATAATCCGAAGTTTATATCTCTTACTGTAAAATCCTTACGTATTTCGTTTCAATGAGCAAAATATCTATGAAACTTCGTAATCTCTGCAGGTCACACCTTGTCTGGTTATTCGATCATTTTGAGAAGAACGGCACAGTCCCGGGAATAACATCCATTATTAAAGACATCGCTTGTCAATTTCAAAATCTGGTCACGTTAACGTGTCCGCGTATGAAACCTCCCATCTGCTGTTTTTGCCTGTTGGTTACATAATTCCTAGAATTCCTAGAGATTCCTAGAACAAAGTGAAACATGTCTTGACGTAGGTTGTCGGAACCAATAGTTGCAACCTTCAACATGTAGTATAAAATCGCATTCACAACGAGTTGAGCCAGGCTTTACAAATCCTGGGGACTAAATATGGCGGTCGTACATGAAAGAAAAACCGCCTAATCTTTTAATAGTCTCTCCGCCTCTCACACGCCTCCCCACATGGGGAGGCGTGTGAGAGGCGGAAAGACTCGGTCTTTGTATTGGAAATCCAAGAACCAGTTCTCAGTACTCAGGCGGGTGCAAGTCTATATTGCTTAGTGTGGCATTAACGAGAGACGATGCTAAATGATGCGCAGAGTACGCATTAAGCTTTAATTTGGCAACCATGTAATCCGTTCACGTTGAAATATTCGCAGCATCCAAGTGCGATTGTCACAACTGACGAGTAGAAAAATGACGTCATCTATCAAGAGACAACAGTATTGTTTAAAAATTCTGTTGACGCTGTGCACCGTGATTTCGTCGTCTAGATTCATTCCCCTAAAAGTAACCTTTTATGTTCAATAAAAGAGGTCGTATTCTAAATTTGACCTTCAGAGTTGTGACGTCATTAGCACCTCATGATGTATTTGAGCACACAAGACGTATCAATAAATGCCTTGTATTCATCGCACAGACAATCAGTGAACAAATTACGTTACGTATAAAATATGACGTCATTACAGCATTAATATGTAGGCAGTCATGAAGATGTACATCTTGGCGGCAGAAAGCTCACACACTACTCTTATGTCAAGTCAGTTGGAATTCTGAGTGAATTTTTTAGGTATGGTGACGTCATTAATTAGCACCTTTTAGTAAGCCTGAGCATGTCGCGGGATAAGATATGTAGTATAAGATATAGGATGTCATATATGTATACTTACTGTATATACATACCAATCACCATATCAACAGACAATGATGATAAACATAAGAATGATAATAATATCACACATCATAAGGAATTCTCAGAAAAAAAATGGAAAGGGGTTTCAAGAATATACATCTGTCGGTATTAGCAATTAAACATCTTTGAAAACTCCTCCTAGTATCTACCACATTTCCAAATATAAATGACCAAAAATCTCCTGAATGACTTATCTGGGACAGTCTATAAGTACAACGAATGAAAGAGGAAACGAAATGTATGTATAAACACCTTCGTGATAAAATACAACACTAATACCAAGAGGGTCACAAAGAAAAAGGGACATAGGGGTCGCGTTTACATTGAAGATAGGCCGACCTTTTTTGGTACGACCCTTTTACATAGGTCGCCTAATTAACGGAAGCTCTTCACAGGTACGTAGTGAATGGCATCCCTAGATGTTCCCCAAAGCTTGAAACCAAGAGGTGGGCATTTCGCGAACGCATATGGGGACTACAGTTGCTGCCTATGGCGATCACACCCATAGCTTACTCAGAGATGAGTCGATCTATCGTCAGTGGAAACAAGACTTCTGTTGAAAACAAATACCTTCTAAGATATCACACTTTCATCGCTTGAACATGCAGGAAAGTGAAGTTATGCACCTATGATATAAAAAATATGCTCCCATTCTTATTCCAAGCAGTTTCGTGTATGAACGAAATGACCAAAACTATTTAGCTTTGCCAAAAGGCTAAATCGAGAAAAAAATTCACTTAATAATAATTGTGTCTTGGCGATCATTTTTGATAATTCAACCATTTCCTTAATCCTTCCTTGGTGTTTTGCATTGTAACCAAACTCGGAGCAAAGAAAGATTAACACGAGGATTATTTCTTCGGATTTTTTGTCATCTCAATCATCAATTTGCAGGACGACAATCAAACTGAAGCTGCAGGGCACTTGACACCCGAGGTGAGCGTCTGAAGAAATTGCAACGCCTTCCTTCAAGGGATATGTATTTTTTTCGATATGTCATTTCCGATCGACAACGATAAATGTACTTCTCTTTTGAGATTCTTAAAACTAATTACGCTGACGCCACATAAGTTTCAGGGGGTAGCACACATTAATGAGTTTGCCGTAAGATCAATTGGCAGCATTCGTGAGGGTTCGATGATGACTATGTTGAGGCAAGGGCTGCGGCGTCCTCTGAAGCAGTGTATGAAAGTCGGTGTGTCTTGAATTATATACACAATTTATCCGACGACAAAAATACCAAATCACACAATCTTTTTGAGTTCATACCGAGGCAAAAAAATTGGCTGAAGCCGTTCAGCTTGATATTCTAAAAGTCAGATTCCTGCCCTCCTTTCACGTTTTCAGTTCGATGTGTGACGCACCGTAAAATGAGATAATACGACATCCAAACCATAGATAGCCTTAAGCCTCAGTCTCTTTTCCATCATTGGAGTAATCATGGTGGACCTTTTCTCGATAATCTATCTCGTCGGCGTCCCGCTCGACGAAGAGCAAGATGGCGGCGGTGAGGATGACTAGCACAGATGCCCAGGCCAGTCCGTAAGCCCAGGCGAACTCCCACTCCTTGCCGCCATCTTCCAGCTTGAACACCATGTTCTGCCAAAACATGATGGGGTAGACGATGAGTCCAATTACCAGGAAAATTGCTGAAACGAAAGTAAAGTGTCTGAGTTGAAGCTGAATAAAGTCGGTGCAATTAAAACCATACCGAACACAGAGTGAAAAATCACGTACATTTGATAAAAAATCAAGAGCAACATTTTGGCAATCAAACAAACGCATCTGAGGGTATACTCACACAAAAAGTTCGAATGTAACACACAAAAAGGAAATGGCATCGTTAATATTCATTCAAGACGCTTGTTACATTTAGATGAGATTCCGATGCGTCTTTGACCGTTTTGCATTCACAACACCGAAAGTAGGCCGAAACGTGTATGGAATATGTCTTACAATTCTAGGTTCCATCAAATAATGACCAAACTATCTAGTCTTTTCGGTGGATAAATTTCATGTTAATGTTGACTGCATTTTCATGTGAAGGGGGGGGGGGGAGAGGGAGTCAAAGGAAAGAAAAATATTCACTCTCTCTGTCAGAATGCCTCAACGCAACGAGTTTTTGGGAAACAAAAGAGGAACTGGTAGCCTACTCCTATATTAATCTCCTCACCCTTTGTCTGAAGTGCCAGTCACCTCTATGGCAAAGAACACAGGGTTACCTACCCGCCAAGCCAAACCCGACCATGGCCACCATGTAGAAAGTGTACTTTCTGTCCGGCTCCTTGTTACAGAGTGCCAGCCCAGTAACCACCGTGGAGGCTGCTGTGATGAGCAGGGAGATGATACACATGGCCGCCACCGCCTGGGTCCATACTGAAAAGTAAAGACATTCAAAATATCAACAGGACCGTAGGCAGGGGAGTTCGGGGGGGGGGGGGGGTTTGAGAAGATACCCCTTCCCCCTTTTTGCTTGGAAAAGGTCCCATTTGGGTAAAATTTCATCTAGTTACACGAAGGTTTCGTGCTAAAAGGGCTTCTTTTTCAGAAAAAGAACCCACTTTCCTTTTGAAATTGCTGGCTACGGGCCTGGTCAGTTTGGTTGAAAAAATAAAGGTGGCTTAATTACTGTACGAGATTAAGTTTCCTCTATTGCAAGGTCCGATTACCTTTTGGTTGTACTAGCAAGCACCGTCCTAGATTTTGACTCGCTTCTACACACAAGTAGGAATTCATTGCCTGATCTATCCCCCCCCCCAATAAAAAAAGGAACCGTATGGTTAAAGAAAGCCATGGTATCCACATCTTACCTTGTCCGGAGAGGGCAAAGCAGGTCTCCACCTGGTCGTCGTGTATCAGACTGTGGTTTGGGGGCATCTTGCAGGCGACAAACAGCCCCTCCCTGTAGATAGACGTCTGCAGCCAGTGGGTCGGGATGATTGCAATCAAGAGGAGGAGGGACGCCAGGCAGCCGAAAATCAGAGCCAAAACCTGGAAAAAATTTTAAGTGAAATAAAGTTACGGTTCACCTGTAGGAGGGGGTTTTTCACTAGACTGACTCGATTTTAGTGTTTTCTGTATTTGTCATTTACCTTTAGGAGAGGTCAACTGACTCGATTTTATTGGTTTCGACTATCCTTTTATCCACGTGAGATAAAGTATAGAGGGTTAATAATAACATACATTAATGCAAGTGAACCAGAAACGAAATGACAAAAATATGTGCTTTGCAATTCCTAGGAAAAATAACATAAAATGGGTGGATTTACATATAATATCGAAAATCAGCGATGGAAGTGAGAGGTAACCAAGATTTAGCCCTTAAACAATGAACAAAGAACCTGTGGGAGCAAGAAGAAAAGAAAAAAAAACGTCAGAATTAAGAATATTTTCATGTAGGTGTCTTAGTGGTGATTATTCAATTACGGTGATTTACCAGGAACTGCAAACACCAAGATTTCAAGAAAATTAGCGCCTGCTTTCAGGGCAAATTAAATTACCTTGGTAATATGAACTTATCCACAAAAAGTAACGCCGAGAAAAGTCACTGAGGGACACGTATATGGACGTTACTTGATTACAGCTCTTGGTGTGCTACACGTGTGAAAACATGGCAGAAATTCTTAAAGAGGCAGGTTATGGATTCAGGGACAAATATACATTGTATCAATAACTTTTAATCTTCAGCTCTTTTTCAAGGACTTAAGTGCTATATACCATCCCAATTACATCAATACCAATTTAGTTAGTAAAATGTTCGAGCATGTGTTCTTGAGACCATTTTGTCTTTCGCCAAATTTAAGGGTATAGCGATTTATTATTTCCTCAAGTCAAGTTCCTCTTCCTCGTAGCTACTTCGTAATCTTTATTCTGAAAAGTTACCCCCTCCCCCATTTAAGTTTTTTTCCTACGCAAACCTGTTATTCCAATAAGTAAAAGTGCTACTCAGTGTTTTCTGAAGAAGCGAGGATATCAATACACACGACACGACAGGATACATGTAACTCTCTTCTAGCAACATTGGCAAACAATAAACCACAATTCAAAGTATTCCTTTCTATCCGCATTTCCTTTATTTCTCTTTTGTAAAGCAACGCCACACGCAAGCTTTATAGCACTCAGCCGGCTTGTTATCAGCAAATCCAAAGAGTTTTTTGTGGACCCTCGGATGACCCAATTTGAGAACTGGATATGTATAGATATGTTTGTAACCACAGCCATCCTCAACCCTACATCTGCTAACTTTATTTGTAAATTAAAAAAAAAAAACGGACAGAATTTTGTCCTTTTTTTATTTTTTTTTTAGAATTTAATGTCGCAATTCCTGTTCTCTTGCGTGACTACTTTTCTTTTACCAATATTGAATTGTAAGGGCAAATTCACGTTCAGAAGCTTTTATCTAATAGCTGTGTGTTATTTACTAGGGAGCGGTTTGATCTGAAGCAATAAAAACTATTGAGATGGCTTCCGCCCAAACCATACACAGAACAACCTTTCTAAATAATTTGATTGCGGCTCTTTATTTTCTCACAAGCGGGAGGGCTGAGATTGTTTTTCTCGCCGTTGAGTACCTTGCTTGAGTATTATTCAATAGCAGAGGTATTAAATAAAGAGGAAATGTCAAGAATCACGTATACATAATTGAGAACATACGTGACTTGATTTTCTGCTGCATTTACAAACAAAGGCACTGGTACACGTAGGAAACAAGTACGAGCACACGAAAACACGCAAACGATACCACACACGCGTAAGTCAATACACACATGCAGTCA